TTTTTTTTTTTTTTTTTTATAAATTTTTTATATCGTCAAATTTAAATAACTAAAAATAGAATGCGTACGCGTATTTCAATAAATTAATATATTTTAATTATCAAATATATTACTAGATTAATTTAATTACGAATACGTCTTTCAAAATAGAAAAATAATTCAATTCCAAATCCAAATTAATTCTTTCATTTATTATCATCGAATCTTGAAATCTTATAGTAAATAGTATAATATAATAAATTCAAATTCATTAAATCAAAAATATATATTCTTATAAATGATCCAGACCATTATTATAAAATCGAGATTTTTTCTCTTTAAGAACTTAAATATCTATATTTCAAAATCTATAAGAAATAATTCATATATATATAATCAAAAATAAATATTCTATTTCCGTAAACAGATTTACTCAAAATATATTAACCGCTTGCACGAAAAATCAAATTCTTTAATATTCAAATTGACGATCCTATGCAATAAGAAATATAATGAAAGATATTATCGACGAATATATCAAATAATTCAGATATCATCATTCTCGAATACTATTTACTTTAATTTATTAAATGAAATTCCCGCGACATCTTTAAAATTGTATCATTAAATTTCAATATAAATCAATCCAGAATATTTTTTTATTAGAGAGTCCTATCCTAGATATCTATAAATCTTAATCAATACCGTAAAAATTGAAAATAGATTTAATAATACGAACAGAGATATTATATATTCTCCATATATCCAACCAAATAAAGAATATTTCTTATCTATTCAATAGCTCAGAATCAATCAATTCATATCTCAAAATTCACTATAATTCCAAAATCAAAATTTATATAAATCATATCTAATAACTAATTTCGATAATTAAATATATTCAAAATTCTATAAAGATCACTATATATTTTGTAGAATAAAAAAAGAATACAAATTTTCTTTCAGAATATTATTCGATTTTTCAATTTCGCAAATAAATGAATAGAAAATATATCAATATCAAACATGGGCCGAACTGCTACCCATAAGTACGACTCAGGAAACACGTAGCGCCCCATGGTCAGGACCTTAGAATTCACCACAAAGATCCATCAGCCTGAAAAACACAAAATCCCTGTTATGATTGATGCTCAGTGCTCCTTGCAACGAAGGACCCACCAGCGACTGTGGATGACTTCTGAAGGCACTCGGCGTGCAAAAACCAGAAGAATCACAGTTAATGTTTCAAGGGCAATCGCAAGTAGTGGGTGCCCATGTGATTCCTGTAGGAATCATGATGAATCATGGGGAGGGGACCCATTTTCTTGGACATTTTCAGGATGCCCTGCCTGATCGCGTTCCTGCTTCGTCTCAAAAGTCAGGGCTGCGGGCTGGATCTCTTCCTCCGATTGTTGAGGGACGCGCGCCGGCTTACTTTTGCAGGTGTATTCTGGCTAGGATTTATGAAGCTAGGGTTGCGGCTCAAACCCTACTCAAGTTATGCGGGGCTCTCCCACAAAAATGGCATCGTTTGCTTAACCCGGCTATTAGTGGCACAGATACCTCAACACCAGGTTCCACAAACACAGGATCCATGCGTCCATATGCCGAACCCTAAACCACAAGTAGACCTCAACCATGCAGTGGTCCTTTTGAAGTGGAACACCGGTGTATAACTACTACTCGTGTCTTTACAATCCTTAAGCTTCAGAGTTTGTCGGATAAACCTGAAGGAGGGCTGAGGGTTGACGGTTCTTAAAATGGACCATGAATCAGAACAATCCTTGCTTTCCCTGTTATATCCCCCACCGATGACATGCCAAACGCAAGTGGCTGACCTCGATGCCTTGAGTGTTCTCTCAAAGCAGCTGTGCTAAAGGCCTGTAAATTGGGGAACCATTAACCTACAATTGAGGAGGAAGAACCCCCTAAGTAGGGGAACTCCTGAACCATGACAGTTTCTTTTGTTTCGTTCTCGTGGCCAGCAGAAGCTGCCCTTATGCGAAGGGGCAAGCAAATTACCATCTTGTCATTTCACCTACTGTCCTAACCAAGGTCCCACACAAACGTGGTATATTGCTTCAAGTTCGACAGCCCCCAACGAGGACCCATCATTCAGACATGCTGTTGGCCCCTTTTTCTGTTACCCTTAGACGTTAAATGTCGTCCCTATCCTATGCGAATAAGAATCAACAACCTTCAGTCGGATGACTACTCTCATTGTTGTGTTGCTATGATCCATATCATCAACGCAATTGTTGTTATCACAGCCATAATTCTGCGTTTGAAATCCACGACAAGGGTTGTGATAGTGGCTTGAATTCCAACTCAATTTCCTCAGCTGAATTTCATGTCATCCTCTGGTTCCTTTGAAGTGGCTGGTGAGGATTCCAAGTCATAAGGCAATTACGATCTTATCCCATTGCAACAAACAGCTTGAAGGCAGACGCTTGCCGGAGCCCTGTTTGGACCTCTGCAGTATTCCCTAGAACCCGATACACTCCTCCCCAAATCGCAAAAAAAGCCCTCGAAACCTTGACTCCTTGTATGGGGAAAGCTTCCGCATGGGTAGCATATGTTATGTGTCTCATGTAGCATAGTTAGGATTCTTACCAATGATGCTATGCATATGTCATTCTTGTTGGTGGGGTCAGCGCTACCTACTGTTGGGTTCAACAATTCTGGTGTTTCTGGTTCTTGAGGCCCAAGACGAGGCAGATGCATCAAATAGCGCTAGAGACGGAGCTGTGGATCATGCATATGGACGGCCCTCCTGATGACAGCATCCGAAGACACAACTGCAAAAGGCTGACGAAACAAACATTGCTGAAGATAAAGAGCAGGATCTGGCCGTGGCCGGGGCAGGCAGCATGAGTCGAAGAGCTGACTCATTGCTTAGCACAGGTTGCTGACGACTCAACAAACTTTGCGGGTGCTTATAACATGAGTCACAGAGCTACCCCACCAACCACGGTCGGGCAAGGCTGAAAGCTTAATCCGTGCATTTGTTGTGCCATGGCTTTTGGTGCAAAAGCATGCATGCTTCTGTTATGTGGGCAGCGCTCCGACTTTTCAAGTGCAAATATGAAACAACATGCTTTGCTTGATGCGCTCGCAACCTTTTTCTTCTCAAATGTCAGTTGGGAAGCCAGTTGCAACCCCGCGCTCTCCTGCCATCGCAGCGTTGCCTGTCCACAGATGCAGACAAGCAAATCCACAAATTGATGCTTCGACCAGCTGCCGATCTAAATGTTACAGGTATTCATCGGCATCTGTGTTGAAATGCAAACGGGAGTGCATACTGACATGCTAATGTGATCGTGTGACATGAGTCTTGCATGAGCCCCCACGATTCTTGTGGACGAAATTAGTGTCATGTTTCCATGGTCGCCATCGCGGCCTGCATCTCAATGAGGATAAATGCGAAGACTTTTTAAATAGATTCGAAACAAGGACCTTCTACACCTCAATTCTGTCTGTGCCTAGGAACTTTGACACCAAGCAAGCCGGCGCCTCTGTCTAGCAAGGTTAGATACTTAGATGTTTACCTCCAGGCGTTTTCCAATAGGCGGAAGTTTGAAGAAGACTACCTACCGAGTTTATCAGGCGATCCATTCTTCCGAGCTGTATCCGAATGAAGATGCTTGGGCAATCCTCATAACAATCTCCTAAATTGTTTTCCACACATTTCGACACGCCCATGACTTGTAGAATGAGGCATCACTTCCTGTGGGTCCACATGTAGGGGCTTCAGCCAAACAACGCTACCCACCATACCCTATCTACTCCCTAGAGGACCCCGTAAAGCCTGAAGAGGCACTTTTGGGGCTTCAGCGTCTCCAGCATGCCGCGTGGGTCTCGGAAGGCACAGTTTTAGTACCACTCCACACGTCTCAAGCTAAGTGAGTAGGAAGGGCCATCTGCATGAGGGCCCAAGTTGGTTTGGAAAACCAATCCTACCATGCTACTGTGTTAACAAATTTGGCGGCGCTGGCTCCCTTGAGGTGCCAAACGCACGAACTTGCGTGAAGAGGGTCCAAGAACGCGGATCGTCGAAAGAAAAAGACTCTAACCTTCAGACAGACTCGACAAAGGCAACTTCAAACTTCCGGTCTGCTCTGCTCTGCTCTGCTCTGCTCTGCTTGCTCTGCTGCTGGGTACCTACAACCCAAGGAATGCTACCTTCTTCAACCTCACATCCTGGCAGTGCGCATTGCGACTTGGATGCGGCTCGCAAGCCAACACGCCGAAGGACAAGGTACTCGGGAAACTCAAGCCCAGAAAGAGACATCTGTGCAAGTCTCAAATTTGGTGTTGCACTCTACACAATATAGATGGACGGTCTTCGCACATGTACGGACAACACGGGTTCAAACAAATGAGTTCTCTTGGGAAATAGTCCTGATAACTATTTGCAAGCAATTGTGCAATCCATTTTCATCCTGTTGACAAACCCACATATGGCAACCAGATTGTCAATTACCTCAACCTTTAGACATTCCAAAAAAAATCAGGCCAAGTACTATGCCACCTGCTAATCAAATCAAAGCGTAGGGTTTTGGTTAATCTGCAATCCTTCCCTCCCACTGCTTACCGGTGTGCGGATGCATATCTGCTCGACAAAGCCTCCTTACGAGGCCAAGCTTAGGTCCCTGGAATAAAATCTTGACCCTCTTCTGCAAGCATTGCTCCGAGACTCACTTCTTCCAGTTGCTCGCTTCAGTGCCTGCCCCTGGACACTTGTAGAATTAACGGTACCTGTACCAAACTTCCGACCTCGGAATGCCATCGTCTTCAGGGTGCAAGGTGTACCAGTACCTTGGCTGCTCTTAAACCTATGACAAACTCCCTTTGCCGCTGTTGAAGCACCTACCTCAACAATGTGCTTATAAGCCTGAACGTAATCTCGAATATAAGGACCATGATTGTCTAGTGTGCCCCCAAATGGCTGATCAAAGGTCCTGAAATGCCCATGAAAGTTCCCAGAATGCGTAATAATGCTTGCAAGGAATGTCTAGTTCCCCTTTTCAGAATGCACTAGCCTTGCCAAGTCCTACCCCGCTCCATTGATAGCAGGAAAGAGCCGTCAAAGCTAAACTGATACGGAAGCATACAAGCCTGGAGCTCTGTTGACACTTCAGAATACACCGCAAAAATGCTGCCAAGAGCAAGGACGAGATGCAAGAACTGCAGTCCAACATAGCCTTAGGGCAGCTTTTCATTTGCTTCTGAGGTGAAAGCCCTAAAGAATCGAAATCATCACCCTGAACCCAGCGAGTTCAAAAACCTATCAGACTTGGCGGGTTTTGGGTTTTCAGGGCCTAAAGCAAACAGGGAAGGTACTTCACATGAGCTTTAAGATTTGCATCCTTTGTAGTTGCAGACGATGTGCAGGAAATTCACTCATGGGAATGATGGATTCATGTTTGAACAGTTCACGGAAGAGGGGGTATTCCAACTTAGGAAGGGCGTGGGATGCTGGCATTCCAGGCCCTATGGCATGCATCAAGCACAACCTTATGCAGGGGCATATATGTATGTATCTATCTCCATGGATGACCATGCCCAAAGGTTCAAGATAGGGCTGAGCTGCAAACTTCACTTAGGCTTCCTACTGCTGACTCGGAACAAGCTTAGAGCAGGCGATTCCTGAGGTCATCACAGAGACCTTTCTCCTGAAGCCTCGTACCCATCTTGAGATAGTTGGAAGTTTCCCACCTTTCTACATGGGGAGTTCCAAAAGATTTCGGCACGACAGATCCTTGCTGAATACAACATAGTCAAAACCCAAGCATGAAACACAAATGCTTAAACTTCAAAAGCCCTCACGACCCACCCAGAAAGTTCTCAGATCCTTCAGAATACCTGGGGTCGACCCCTCTAAGCAACCCGAAGCACTAACCTGTAAGCTGCTTCCAGACATGTAGCATCTGGCAAGCTTGATCAGCCCCAGTCCCTCGCAGCCTGCAAACCTGATCTCCCAGGTCTCGTCCTGTTTGAGCACAAGGCTCTGGGGTTTCAGTGCGGACGAGATCAAACAACTACCAAGGCAAGTTTTTGAAGAAACCAATTGAACCAGAGTAGACCATCTCACAAAACCTCCAGAAGCTTGAGAATGGAGGTCCAACGATGCTTCATAAATTTCCTAAATGTTTCCAGTCTCGGAATTGTGCAAATGGTTTTTCACCCCCAGCCACAAAACTTTTGCGGCCAATCACGCAAAATTGGCTGAATGGATGCCTGTTTGTCCCCCTTGCCTCAGTTTGACAAATCTCGAGATCCAAGCCGGCCACGGGAGAAAACTTTCTGTCTTGGACCTGCCGATCAAGGTGGCAGTAGTGGCAGCAGCAACAGCAAAATCGCAAAGATCCTCTGGAGACTCCTTGCAGTAAGAGTCACGTTCCTCTGGAAGACCTGACGCATGCCAACATATTCCCCAAGCAAACGCTGAAAGAGTGTTATTTCTAAAGCACCCCTCAGGACAAGGCTACAATCTCCTGGGTCCAAAGCACTGTAAAGCACCGAAGAAAGTGTCAGATCCGCTGTCACGCTCGAGGCTTAGGCCTTACAGGCCTTTTTGTGTGGCTTTGAGATGAGACTCAGGGCTTGGAGTTCCGAGGTTATTATGGGCTTGTTGGTATCAACAGGCTGCTCCGTTGCGGCTTCCGGCCGCCTCGTTGCAAAGTAAACACCCTGAGTGATAACCACCCCTAGAACTTGCCATCTTATTCCCGTCTTCCCTGAAGAAACATACCCATGGACTGAGGGTGGCGTGGAGTGCTTGCACGCACTGTGGGCAGCACAGACATGCGAAGCAGAAGAAATGCTGGCGTCCAAGGTCAGCTATTAGGATGTAAGGGTGATAACTGAAGACGCCGGAATGATGCTGTCTCATTCTCATGACGAAGCAAAAACGAAAGGCTCATGCTTCGCTCTTGTGTCGATGTTGTATTCCTGAAGCTCATGGAATCCTCATCCACGTCGTGAAAACAAACATGAAAGGACTCGAATGAGTCAAGTTTGAACAACAAAAAACGAGTTCCTAAACCCGTGCAAAACCTGAAGCTCTCATGCAGCACGGATCACCAAAGGACAGGCCAGGCCTCGATTTTGGTTGAATTGGTACCCTCATTGTCGACCTTCATGCTCAGTTTTTTTTAAAAGTTGCATCGAAAGTGACGACAATCCTGGACAATCCACATGTCATTTACAAGGTAGATACCTGCGGGACAAGACCTGTAGTGATCCAACTTTGAAAAATTAGATCTGAGCCCAGACTATGTGTAGTCAATGTTTATGCGAACGGTGCTGCGATCCCTCAGGTTGGTTAAAGGTTGGTGCAGGCATGAGGGGTAAAGGTTCATGGGTTGAGATTTTAGAAGAATTCTGCTGGGAGATATGAGGCAAGTAGGCTCATACAGCGGCGTATGCACGGAGAGTCAAGGTTTCAACAAAAGTGGCTTGTTGGGGAACTTTGTTAACCTTCATGGGCACGCCTTCTTTCCCTATTTCCATACATCAGGAAATGTTTCTCGCACGCGCAAGCTTGAATCAGCTCCTTGACCCACCTTCAGCCCACGACTGCGCGTACAGCTAGTTTGAGCCATGCTAAGAAGTGCGAGGCTGCAACTGGGGCCCTGTTTGTGTCGCGTAAAAGATGAGAATTCAAGCTCGTCTTTAGTGTTTTGGCTCACCAACATGAAATTTCCCGAAGTAGACCCCTTTACTTAATCGCAGCTGTAGTAAGGAGCCTGCATGATGATTGATCGGTTCATCTACATGCTGATGGATAAACAAGAATTCAGAAACGTCCTGGTGATCGCAAGGGTTCCTTCCATCCATTTGCCCATGTCGGTATATCGTGATTTTGGGTAGTACAAGCACTAATCTGAGCGGATAAATTCGACGAACATCTTTCAACAAAGAAACAACTAGCATGCCTATAACTTATAGAACTCCAGAGCAGGGCCTACCAAAGGAGAGGACACATCTGAGGTACATTTTAAAGCGTTCATAGGGAGGACTATGAGGGAGCATTTGTAAGTGACTGCTTAGTTCTATGCTGCTCACCTAGTCCCCTTGACCCCTAAGCAGCGCAGGCCTGCCATTCACCATCAAACCAGGCCCACTTGCAAGGGCTGTCCATGGGGCCGTCGAACGAGGGCATAAACCCTTTAAAGCCCTTGAAATGAGGGAATTTCCACCTCTTTCCATTGTCATGCCTCGGCTGTTGATTTCAAGTATCGGTGATTGCATTTGTTCTGAGGCCCACTCAAATGTCTTCTCATAAAACAAACCTCTACCAGGTGCAGTGCAGATTCTGATAACCCTCCTCCTGATCCTTCTGATCCTCATGGCTCTGTGGGGTCTGGGGTGGTGTCTGAGGCGGAGCCTGGGTTGGAGCCTGGGTCGGAGGCTGGGTCGGAGGCTGGGTTGGGGGCTGGGTGGGAGGTTGGGTCGGAGCAGGCTGGGTCGGAATCTGGGGTTGAGGCCACCCCATCTGGCGTTGAGGCCAACCCCCTTGGGGTGGCATCTGGGCAGGTCCATTCCATTTGTTCCAGCGTCGGCCTCGGCCGCGCCAGGTGCCTGCGTTGGAATCTGCGTTGGAGTCGGCGTAGATACATGTCAGGGCGGTCAGCAACATGAGGACGACGCGAGGCCTTGGAGCTCTTCTAGGCATTTCCTGGATCCCTTCATGGGCGTTATTGTGTGGGGAACTGCTCAAGTCCAGATGTGCTGGGAAACGGAGCTAGAGGGCAAAGTCTTTGGTGGCTTTCAAGCTCCAGAGGTCTAAAGGTGAGCTTCAGGCAAGTTGACTTGAGTTTCTGACCAGAGTACTCTTTAAGCAAATAGCCTGCTGCGGGCTCCCCTCTGAAAGCCTCAGTGTAAGGGGATTCCTATTGAAGTTGAATCTGAGACCCTCAGGTAAAGCAAATGATTTGCATAACTGACCCTATCAATTCTAGGCTCTTGATTTCGGCAGGCAAGCGTTTACAACTGTCGATTTTCCCAGAAAACGTAGGCCAGCACAGGCAGGTGAAATGGGTTGGTACAGCTTCCTGAAGCCGAAGATAATCGTCTTGTGCCGTGTCATGCAACTCAAAGGATTCTAGGAAAGGTGTCCAGGTATCATTTAAACATATGGTGCAAGAAAACGAATGCCTCAACAAGGGGCTTATCAAAACCACAGGAGGTGTTTCGCGGCACTCCCAACAAGAGGCATTCTACACTAAGTTTGCAGTAGAGGAGGATCGCACGATCGAGAAAAAATACGGGCTACTTTCTCAGGAGCAGGCCGATGGTTAAGCCAATCAATTCAAATTGCGAGTCCAAAGCCTAACCCCGAGCCCGACTTTTGGCTGACCTCTCAATCCTTTCCCTGATAGGAGGGAGGATAACAATTTCTGCGGGTTCTGTTTATCCTTCCACAATCACTTTCTGAACCTCCTACAAGACTCATTCATTATGGGGATCCCTATTCCCTGATAGTAGGTAGTGGCTGTTCCTGTGGCTGTTTCAAGAATCCCCAGTACAATCCCTCACCATCCAGGTGTCCATTCCGGGTCTGATCTGCTTTATGCTGCATCTACCTCTTGTTTGTATGCCTTTCTCGCAAGGACAACGAAGAATTCCATATATCGCAATCCCCTCATCAGTATTCCTCAAAAAAAGATCCTCTCTGTTTTAAGTCCTCCCTGTGACAGTTCCCTCTCCTACAACACTGGGAACTTATGTAAGGGAGGCAATTGCCTCAAGGGAGAAGGCTAGGCTGCCCAAGAACCCCACAACCCTGCACTGGAAGATGCTGAAATAACCCTCCTTGACATATGGGATGGCATCCTCAGTAAGATCACGATACCTGGGGACTGGATTTAGGCTTTCAGGTGACAAAGGACGGTCTGGTTACCACCATCTCGCCAGGTGGCATCTTCTGGAAGCGACAGAAGCCACAAATGTGGGCAAGAGGCTTAAACTTAGTGCGTTTGGAGCCGAGATTTCCTTCGCAATGCAAATTGGACCCTGGGTGTAGGGATTAACGCTGCTTGTTCTGTAGCTCAGCTTCAAGCATGAGTGTACTGGGGAATTATGTGGGGTCCTGAAACCTTGTTTCCAAGTAGCCGGCTTAATCTAGGTGTGTGCATGGAAACTTTGGGTTCTCGGCGCTGCAGAGGGCAATCATTCCACTTCGCTACAACATCGGCTTGCCACATTTTTCCCCCGAAGTACAAACATGTTCGATGACCTGCTACGCCCAAGGCCTAGAATCTTGAAAGATGGCGACGCCTGAAAGGCAACTAAGATACAGTTGTGATTGGATAACAGTTTAACTTTCCCAAGTCACAATGCTGACTTTGCTCCATCCTCTCAGCCCGACGAGAGCTTTTGGTGCCCAAAATTGTGGGGTCCTTGTTTTCAAACATGCATGTATCTGTGATTTGTACGTCGCAGCCGCACCTCTCCCTCAGAGGTGCTTAAACCCTAGTCCTGTCCCTGAATGCCAACTCTTAGGGGTTCAGGGCAATGGTTGCTCACGCCTTGATCGCTGCTTCTTGGTGCCGGCAGCGCTCTCGAAGCGAGCACGGGGCCGGCGAAGCTTTGGGGTTGAGGGCATATGCAACATATCTTGTTCTGATGACTTTGAAAAATGCAACAGCTGTGGCCAAGTCCTCTTTACCTCAAAAAATCCATGAGTGGGCATCCAGGGCCCTCCATCTCTGCGAATGGGCTGTGGTTTGCCTGTAATTCTTTCCCAGTATGCCCTTCATTCAAGCCTACATACTCACTATTATTAGAGACCCTACTCCAGTCAGGGGTACTAGATGCACCAAGCGCTTGCATGCACTTTTTGAGCGGTCTGTGCGTAACACCGTAAGATGTTGCTTGTACAACGTGATCCAAAGGGAGCTACGACGGTGCAAACCAAGCACGGCATTAGCTTCTTGTGCTTAAGCTGTAGGGCTTTGGATAAAAGAAGTCTTGCTTGGGGATGGGCAACAACGCAAGATAAAGGTTAACAATGCAAGATTTGCCTTCATACTGTTCACAAGGTTCAAGGTGTAGGTGGGCACGGAAGAAGAGTCTTTGTTTCAAACAGTCTGCGAAGTATCTTTCAGGAAGAGGAGCCCTGCGATATCTTCTGGTTCTTGGGAAGTCCCTGGCAAAAACAAACTCGTTTGAAACATGCTCACCCAACTTGTATTCACCATCCGTGTATGCGGGGTATTATGCTACATCCAGCATCCGGAGACTACACGGTTTTTTTAGCTCGATGAAACGGCTCTCGAAGCCCACAATCTTCCTGCGAGCGTCCTTCGCATGTTGTTCTTGGGTTCAGGGTTTTGTGTTCAAGATTTTGGCGCACAGAATTTGGTCGTTCGGCATTCCTGGCTCGAGTGGAGCTTACTGTGTCATGGATACTGATGGTCCTTGATAGTCTAAGCAGTGGAGAAAACAAAGACGCGCGATCCTATCCCGCTAAGGGTTCTTGCAAGGCAGCATCAACGTCACAACTGCAGAAAGAATACTTCTTCAGGGTGGCGCAGGCTCACTGGTTTATTGTTGACTTGAATTGCACAGATGATCACGACAAACTTGGTGATAACTCCTCTGGCTGCCTATTACACCAAATTTCTTGCAAGCATGTTCATCTGAGGGCGTAGACACACTGCATCCCTCGCACATCTCTAAAAGGGAGTTACCGAAACATGGTGAACTTTCGCTTCAAGATGAGCATGCAATCAAATACTTCTTCCATCTAAACGAGCCCGTAAGTAGGGATCCCGGAATTCTGGGAGGGGCTTAGATGCCAAAATGGAGAACAACCTTGCAAGCTACAAAGAAACCCTGTCATGCTGGTTTCACATGCGGCGTAATCTTAGCTGAACACAAAGAAGACCTTGCTGCAGACTGAGGGTGGCCTCGGTATGCAAGCTTGCCGTAGTGTCGGCACACTCCCCTGGAACTATCACAGGAGGATCTCGTTGCCCTTTGCAAGTGCCCATGGGCTTCAGCCAAAACTGAGACGCATGTCAGAGCTGACCCGCTCTTGAGCGAGGAATGTAAATGTTTCGACTAGGCTTCAGCTTTTGAGGCTACACGATTCCGTGTCTAGGTCATCCCCAAATGCAAGTGGCATAGAGCGGCTGCTTAACTTTCAGCATCCCTGACACTTTCGCTGACACGGCAATGGCCTCGCAAACCGCAGGTATGGAGCCCAAGGCTGTAGGGACTCCTGCCCAGCAGGCCCACCAGCTGCAAAGAGGCTTGTATCATCCATCCCTGTCGGTAAAACTGCACAGGATGGCGTTGAAGCCACGGTGCCACCGAGGCGGACGGATGAAGGGCTTAATTGGTATTGATGTCTCAAAAACATCTCTCTACTTTCTCACCTTGCAAACTACATATTAAGAATTTTGTTGTTTCCCTTCAGAAGGTCGAAGGCTCCCAAAATGGTAGGTCACGTATCATCAACTTGGTTTGGCAGATCCTTTCTCAGAATCCTGCATCGCGCAACCCTAAGACGCTTTTTGTGTTCACGACTGGAATTGGCTGAAAGTTGGCCTCACAACCATGGGCAACTTGGCTTCCAACCTATACGGAGCTGGGAGCCCTTGCCAGGAAGGTAAGCTCCATATTCCTTGCTGCTCGAGGATCCAGGAGAAAAAGTCGACAAGGCCCTATATCACTCTCGGACATTACTGGCAAGAGTGGGAGGAACAACCTCGCCTGCAAGCGTCGAGCTCAACCGCAGCAAGCAAAGCTGCCGGGGCATGCGTCTACATCAGCTAAGACACTTGGCTTGTTTAAGATGTTCAGGGTTTCAGGCCAAACGCCAAGTTCAGGAAAGCTTCAGTTGTTTGGGTTTGAGCAGTGGTCTCCCTGTTCTACGGCTGTGATGATTCCAACTGAACGCACGCTGCCCATGGTTTCTTTCGAACCTGGCACGAAGTGGCTCTGGACAATGAACAGGCCATTGCCAACAAACGGGTCCAAGCAATACGTTGCGAACACGATTCTTCATCACAAAAGAATCCCGGCCAGGCTTTGGCACAGACTGCAGCCACTAAGACGCGTGTCGTGGTCTAGATCCCTGGAAAGCAGTGAAGGCACTTTGATTGCTGAACACCATCTGGACTGATCAGGTCTAAACACGGAGGCCCTGCAAAATGTGGGGAGGGCTTGTCCCACTGTGGTAACCTTGCACACGGACGCCGCGGACGCACCTTGCTGGTTGTTTTCCGCAACTTCTCCTTGGAAGCGAGATCTCAGCGCGGACAACGGAAAGTAGCTGTAAGAAACTGACATTCAGCTTTTGAAGCAAAAGGCTAGCCAAGGACAACAGCCTCAGGTCTGGGGTGTCAGCTCTAGGTTCACGTCTAGGATGTTGTGTTGATATCTTAGGGCCCAAGTTGCTTTGCATTGGAAACCGGTACCAGCAGCTAACGGCTGGAGGTTGTGCCCGAAGGTCTCGCGCAAGAGTCATGGTGAGCTAAAGCGAGAAGGTGGCGAATGCTTCGTCATCATTCCTGGAGTCTACCAAGGCTGTCTAAATGCCACTCCTTGCAGCCTGAACCTCAACATATTTATGGGATTACGGTTTGGGGCACAGCGCAACTGCGTAAGTTGGGCAAGGAAGTTTGATGGAACTTGGCAAGACAGC